CTTTCACAATTAAATGAGAAAAAAAGAAACAAGGCTAATTGAAGAGCTTACCGATGTATATATAAATAAACCGAGGTTCATTTCGAACATTGAAAAATTTTTCCTATGAGAGAAAATATTTATCAAAAAGTTGTCTCACATGTTACTAAATCTTCGAAAATTTTCTCAAACAGCCGTTGGCACACACAAGTAGATTCTACACAACTGGTCTATACACATCCTAAACAAAGTCAATCATGTTTAGAAATACTCTAATTCGAATTTAATCGAACCTTACGGTGATTCTATGATTTTTCATGTGTTCCAAGAAAAGTTTGAACAATTATCAAAATACCTGACACTGTTTGAATGTTTTGAACAGTTATAATTATTAAGATAGTTTTATGTTAGATTCCCATTCTTACTCAAAAGAGAATCATCACTTATGGAATGTCAGAAAAGTAAAGTGGAGAGTTAAATGTAATTGTTGATTATTTATGATTAGTAAAATAGGAAATAACTAGATTGAATGAAAACGCTTTTAATAATACGTCTTTTTCTTATAAATTTAGAATAATAGATTATGTCAAATAGAGTGATTTCTATTGATAAATAATAAACATTGAAAGTCTTTGCTGCTTATGTTGAGAAGACAAACGATTAAATGAGAATCGATTACAAATTTAGCTTTTTTTTTCTTCCAACAATGGTGATAAGTAGAACCAGAATTCTTTTATACTGATGTTCTTTGTTATGAACTTTGACATTAAAAATTTATAAGATCACAACTATAAAATCTTGATCTATGTCAATCATTTGAGATAGCAAGATCAGTTATTCATTGACTCAACATAGAATTTTATTGATTCTTTGTTTTAAACATTTTTTATAGTGTCACGAGAATAAATTATATAAATTTAAGAATAACAAAAATTTTATGTTTATTACAATTAGCATCTTCAATGAAGTTTTACTTCAGTTATATAGTAAATTCAAAATGGAAAAGAAACTTTTTCTATCCTAATCGATAATGTTAATTGATAATTTCCATCCAATTTTGTTTTTCTTTTTTTTTTTGATCTGATACAAAAATCATATAATAAACAAAAAAGAAAATCAATATCAAACACATTAAAGAATGGACCAATCATGTTCTATATTTTTTTTTTATTTATCTTAGTTATATTTATATTTATATAAATGAAAACACTCACACACATACACACAATATGCAATGAAGAAAGAAAAGAAAGAGAAAAAAAAAAATTGTTTGTTCCAAAAAAAAAAAAAAGAAGAAGAAAAAAAAATAACATCATTACATGTTAATTCGTTGATGATGATGATGATGGTGGTGTAACAAGTTTACATGTACAGAATGGTAATATACATCGATGATGTGATTGATGTCTTGGTACACCTCCTAGTGATGATGTTCGTGATAGAATACTCATAGATGCTGATGATGGAATTGGTGGTGGAGGTGGATGATGAAAATAAAGAGGATGAGGTGGAGGATATGGTGCAGCAAAAAGACGACTTTGATGATGATGATGATGATTTAAATAATTTGATGCTATTATTGGACTAAATGCTGATTTACTTGCTTCAGAATAGACACTAGCAATAACACGTTTAACAGCTTCAGACATTTCATGTTCATTTGATGGTAGAGGAAAATATTGTTGAATTGGTTGATTATTTATAATTGTATCTTTGATTATTGGTGATGATGATGGTGAAATAGGTGATGTTGGACGATCAGGAACAATTTCATCTGTTGATCGAACAGCAGGAGGTGAAGTAGATACCAATTTGGTTGAACGATTATCAGGTGGTGATGATGGATGAGGACTTTTGCTATTTGTATCTTCATCATCACCATCTTTATCATTTATTCCATTATATGTTGAAGTTTTTTCAACATTAACAACTAAACATTAAAAAAAGAAAATTTATTTATTTGTTTTTTTTTTCTTTTATTAAATAATTTCTTTTTTTAGTATTATTTATTTACCATCATTTGAATTTTCTTCATCATTGCTTGTATCACCTTCCTCAACATCTAATACAGTTGATGTTGTTGCTAAACCTTCAGCACTAGCATTAAGTGATCGTCGTAATGCTAATATTGCTTCTGGTGGTGTACCATAAATAGCACTTAATTCTCGAGCATCATTTTCTTCTTGTGCTTGTTGTCGTCGTAAAGCAACCTATAGAATATAATCATAATAATAATAATAATAATATTCTAATTCTATTAACTTACTTGTGCAGCCATAACACGTTGTCGTTCAGCAATAAGTGTACATTTAGCACAAACACAATCTTTCCAATTACAATAACGTTTATGACCTTTTAATGCTGATACAACACCATGATTTCTACATCGTGCACATTTTGGTGTACGTTGATAACGTTCAGTAGCACGTAATAAAAGAGCATGAGGTAAATAACGTGGAAAAGCTGATGATGCTACTGATGATGATGATGATGATGATGATTGTTGATGTTTATTATTTGTATTCATATTTGTATTTTTATTCATTTTTTTTGTATTGTTACGAGATGATGGACTTGTACTCATATTGAATTGATGTTGCTTCTATACGTACGATATGTCGATATATATAACTGATCAAAATTGTGATTAATATATCATTGTAGACACAATCGATAAGAGAAAAGGAGAAAGTGAGAAAGAGAAAAAAAGAAAGAAAAAGAAAAAGAAGAGATTAACGAATCAAAATAAAGCTATAGAGCAATCGGACAGATCATTGATTGGTGCTAAATGATGGTTTCTCTTTTTTTTTTCTGTATTCTCTTATTTGATATCAGCATTATTTGTCAATAAAAAAAATACAATGACGGTCTCCCCAACAACTACGTACATATATATAATAACAACAATACCCATACATAAAAAGATCGATTACGTACAGATTGATGAAATACCATCAACAAACTTACTAAGAAATAAGAGAATGCAGACTATGCATACACTCTCATATACGAACTACTAATACGGTTGTTCTCTTTTTTTTTGCAGTTTAGGCAACGTATCAATTTTCGCTCGATATAACAACGTTTCACCTTTTTTTTTTCTTTTTGTTGATATATGTATGTATATATGTGTCTATATATATATATAGGTGAGAAAAATGATTGACTTTGATAATAACAAAAAGAAAAAGTTATACGAATCATACGTGATATGATATCAAGTAAATATGAAATGATTTTTAGAATCATTTTATATATAAAATCTGCCCGGCAGACATCCGGAAATAATTTCGGATCTATATGCTTTGCTTTTCTTTTTTTTTTTTTTTTGTTCTTTTACACAAGTGGATCATGATAAGATCACTTTGTTTGATATGCTTCTTTCTTCTTCATCAAACATAAAAATAAATTAATTTGTCTTTCTTCATATTAACAAAAAGAAGAGATTACTGCACTTGTAAAGTTGACAACATGTCGGAAAAAGCTTGTTGTAGTCAAACCGATATATATACGGAGGCGTACACACCGGAAATCATTACTAATGTAAGAACATCTAACTATTAATGGACACAAGAAAATAATATACAAGACCAACAAATGGTTGCTATTTTCTATCGTGCACAGTGGTTGGTATTTATATAGATTTATTCGAGAATAATGGAATAAATAAGCAGACAAAAAAAAAATGTTCTTGTCAGCTAATCATATTGATTGTTATGTTTGTCGAAGATGATTATTTGTTGTTGTAGTCTAATGTATGAAAGTGCATATTTACAAGCGTCTGTCACAAATGAGAATATCGAAATCCAACAGAGACAAAAAAAAATAAGAACAAAGTCAAAAATAGAAAATAAGAAGAAAAAAAAAGAATTTTGATCCTTGGATCAATGAAATGTAAATAATGTAACAAAAGAAAGGTGTATCTAATTGGCTTGAAAATGGCAGATGGTTTGTTTCTATGCGCTCTTTCGTTTGATTTCGTCAGATAAAACAACATATAGTTCTCTAGTTGCCTTCTTAATGACGACATTCATTTCTTGTTCACATATATTCATTCTTTAAATATAGATCAATATGATATGATGACTAAGAGGAATTTTAAGCCATCATCTATAATATAGTAGTCGTAGTTATAGTCGGCGACAACGTTTGAAAGTAATTTGAGATTGGTCAAACTCTCTTCAAGCATTAACTTTGATAAGTCACAAAGAATAAAACGACAACAATACAACGAATTGAACTGCAAAGTGAACGAATGGATATATTGATCTTTAATTTTTGTGTACATGTCAACAAATCATACACCTACACAAATAGAATCAGAGTGACAGAGAAAAGTAGAGCGCAAGTAAAAGAGGTCATAGAGATGCCGCACTGTATTCTCTTCTCTATGTACTTGACGTTTTTTTTTCTTTTTTTTTTTTTTTTTGTTATTTCTTGTTCATACTAATTAATTATTTGATGTAATACATTGAAAAACAAATCTTAAGTGGATAATGATGTAAGCACGCCGCATGACTAAATCATACTTGAGTATAATATAATAGAATAGATTTGAGATGACAATTGAAATAGAGTAAATGTCATTTTTAAAAGAAAAAAAAAAAAATTTTTTTCTTTTTCATAATTCTACGATCGTACAAAATTTATTTTTTCGATGTTGATACTATATTAAATATTTGTTGAAATGAAATTACCTGTATGAGAGCACATCCTATTCTTTTTCGTGATTTTTTTCTATTTGTATAGTATCATATATAGTAAGGGGCACTGTTTCTTTATATTTATATTTACACTTAAACATACTAATTTTCTCTCATGTACGTCATTCAATCTACTATTCGATGATTTTATATTTCATTTGATACATATTTTAATGAAATCAAGGATTGTAAATCTTTAATTTTTTTTTTCTTTTTCTGTTGATTGTTATTTAGAAGATTTATTTTCATTTATAATGGATTTAAATACTAATAAATCAAATAGATGAAGTTTTATTTGATCAAATTCTAATATATATATTAAAGATTTTTTTTTTGACAAATTTCATCATAATATTTATCATTTAATGCATATAATGCTGTTAAACGTTGATTAGGTGAATATCGAAATAGACGTAAACAAAATTGAACACAAACAAGATCAGATTTAGTTATAGATGTTAAATGTTCAATAATTGTTTTCGGTTTATTGATAAGAGATATTTTATGTTGAATATATTGATGAATGATTATATCAGATTTTGGTTTCATATCATGTATTTCATCAACATTAGGTTCACCCAAGAGAAGAATGATTCGAAAAAGTTGATCATTTTGATCAATACCTATAATTTATTAATTGAAAAAAAAAAATAAAACTTTGTTTAAAAATGAATAATAAACATTCATACAGAAATCATTTAAGTATTATGTAATTAGATTTTTTTCAAATCATTTTATTTTTATTCGTACTCTAGAATGAGGATGAATAGTCTTGGAAATGTTCGACTAAGAATAAAGAAGATCATTTAGTTTCGTTGAGGAAAAACAATAATTTGAATCATAGAAATTTTGACTAAAGAAATTTTTCTATTTGAGCGTAAATTGATCTCATCAATTCTTGTAGATACTTTATTTACTTTCTACACTCCGTAGTACTGAATAAGACTTTTATCTAAGAGTTAATAAAATTCATATTTTTGATTGGACGAGATAATTCATGTGAAATCATTGAAATGAAAAGTTCCGGTATCTATTTATATGCTTCGAATAACACTTTGTATATGAAATGTAATTATTTATGGTAGTTTCTGCATTTAAAGTTACTTTATATCCATACTTGAATAATCTCTCCGGAAAAATCTGTAAATAAAAAGTCATCCCGTCAAAATAAAAATATAGATTATTTCGATTAAGACGAAAAAATATACATATATATACACCTTTAAATAAAGGTACACCAGAATAAAATTCTGTAAGAACACATGCAGCTGCCCATATATCAATACTAGTTGTATACGATGTACAACCAACAATTAATTCTGGTGCTCGATAATAACGTGAACAAATATATGATACACTAATATCATTAGGTAATAAATATTTAGCTGTACCAAAATCACATATTTTAAGTAAACCTTTTTGACAATTGACTAAAAGATTACTTGGTTTTATATCACGATGTGCAATACCACGAGCATGAAGATAAGCAAGAGCATGAAATATTTGAAATGTAAATAATTTAATTTGATTAATATCAATTAATGATGAATTTAATTTTCTATGCCATCGTTGAATTAATGAATAAATAGTTTCAGGAAATAATTCTATAATTAAACATAATATATTATTATTATTTATTTTTTGTTTAAAAAAATAATATTTTAATTTAATTATATTTGGATGATTTAATTCACGTAAAATTTCTAATTCACGATTTTTATGTGTATGATCAACAATAATTTCTTTAATTGCAATAAATTCTTTTGTATTTTCTATATATGATTTATAAACTATAGCAAATGTACCTTTTCCAATAAGTTTTTTTTTCATAGATAAATTAATCTCAACTGATTCTTCATTATTAATTGTTGAATCATAGCGTAGAACTCGAATACATTGATATTTTGATGATAAATCGTTCATCAACAATATATTAAATTCATCTTTGTTGATAGATCAAAATTACAAGACATAGACAAAAAAAAAAGAACGATGGCGCGTATATTTTGTCGTTTATTATAATAATTCACAAATGTTAGAGGTCGCTGTTTTGACATTTAGTAGTCATCGTTCATTGCAACATTCTAGAGGTTGAAACCAACGAGTACCTCAGCAACCTATTAAATTATGTCTGTTTGAAACTTTTATCCATTAATATTTATTTTCATTTTCTTTTTTTTTGATTTAAATCATAAAATGGCTAGTTCTTCCATAGTTGATTATTATAATTCTCGTATTAATTTTGATAAACTTAATCCCTTAATACGTTCAGCATATAATACAACATCAGATTTTGAAGAATATAAACGAAAATTACTTGCCAAAGTTGAATATGATAATCAAGATGATAATACATCATTTCTTGATTCCATTGATGATATTCGTCGTGAACAACGTGTTCGATTAGCACAAGTTGAACATGATTATTATAATCAAAAGACAACACCATCATTTGATGTACCTTATTATACTGAAGAAACAGATAATAACAAACAAGAAACTATACTTACATCAAAACCACCTTTACCAACTGCATCAAGACGATCACCATCACCAGTATTTTTAACTGAAGAACAAATTGAACATCATATTCATCATCGTCCAGTATCTTCAAATATAGTTCGAAGACATGATGATGATCTATCATATTGTCCACATCGAACATGTACTAATAATACAAATATTGTACATGATTCAACAACAAATCATGTTCAAAATCAAATAGAAAATATGTGGAATGAATTTGAATTAGATGATTATTTAGAACAAAGAAAGTAAGATATATGAAAAATAATTAAATTTTTTTTTTTTTTTTTTTATAAGATTTTTATGGTTTCTTTTTCATTGTATAGAACTCGTCGTCTTCCAAGTGCACCAACAACAACTAGTTGGGCAGGTCGTGTAACAGTACCAGAACCATTTTCTTTAACGAACAGTGTAACTATGGATAATGTACATAGAAGAAAATGTATGCATGAAATTGAAGCAGCAAAATTACAAAAAGAAGTTGATGATGAACTTATGCTTAATCGATCTTTTAAAGGTAAATATTCTTATGTTTGTTTCATTACGAATAATTTGTTTAAAAATTAAAGTACCTTTTAACTTTAAACTCAATTACTCTTCTATAATCGACATTTATAAGATTTCTCAAAATTGAAAATAGAAGAAATATTCTTCATGATCTATATTTAAAGTTATCTAGAATCTATTATACAAAAGCAAAAAAAAATGTTACATGAAGCAATAATAAGTGTTCTAAAAAGTATACAAATGATAATCTTACTATCAAAAATATATGTTCGAGATACATTTTTATCGATTAAAAATGATTTCAATTGAGATAATATCTGTTATAATGACCTTCGATTTTCATATAATCTAATAAACACTTATAAAATATAAAGAAATGAAGTTTTGATTTTATTTATTAATTTATTTTTCAGCAAATCCTGTTCCTGCTCATGTTCGTATGCCTTTATATGAACAATTACAAGAAGAACAACGTATTCGTCGTGAACAAGTTCGTCATATGACAAAAGAATATTTAAATTCAATATCAAAACCATTTGGATTTGAATCACGTGAAAAAGCTAAAACAATAGTACGACGACATTCATATTCTGATGGAGATACTCCTCGACATGAACCACAATTTAAAGCAAAACCATTACCAGATTTTTATTATCGTACAAGCAAAGATATTGAACAGTATAATTTCAATACTATTTTTATTTATTTATTTTATTTTATTTTATTATTTTTAGAATGAATGAAAAATCTCTTTATCGTTCAATAAAACGAGAAATGCGTGCCAAAGAATTACTTCGTCAATCACGTTTACCATTAAGTATGCAAGAACGTGAACAACAAGCAAAACGTACACGACGTTCAATGAGTACAAATGATTTAGCACGTATTGGTTATGAAGAATATACATTTAAACCAAAAACAAATGGTTATCATATACCAAATTATGATAAACTTCATTCAAAATTTTTACGTCAATCTGAACAAGCAAAACGTATGCGAACACCAACAAAATGTAAACCATTTCTATTATATACAAATTTAATTCCAACAAAAAAAGATAAAATTCTTGATAATATTCGATATGAAGAAGAAATGCGTCATTTACAAACATTTCAAATAAAAGGAAAACAACTTCCAACAAAATCAGCATCAGGTACGAGTTTATCAACAAGTCTTCAACAATCTGAAGCTATACCAACAAAAACAACTCAAGCACAACGTGTACGTGAAGTTATTGGAAAGAAAAAACGACGTGAAGAAGAAGTTAAAGATAAATTTGAAGAAAAATTTCAACGATCAAGATCAGCTAAAGAAAGAAGATTAAAAGAAAAAATTCATGAACAAGCAAAATTACAAGATAAATCAATAATACATAAAGCAAAAAAAGACGAAAATGCAAATATTAAATTTATATTTTCTAACTTAAATTATATTTAATTGTTTTTTTATAGACTCGTAAAATTCGTCAATCGATACGTCAAAATGAAGATGATTATGCTAGAAAATTAGATGCAATGGATGGCCGTGTTGCAAGACGTCCATTATTACTTGAACAAAATCAACGAGATAAAGCTATACGAGATTTAGAAAGAAAAATTCAACATGCAATGAATGTAGCTAATATAACTGAAAAAGATTTAATGAGACAAAAATTTAATCCACCTAATGTTAGAGTAACAACAACACGTACTGATTATTCATCATAAATATAAAAAAATAAACTTGTTTGTTTTTTTCTTCTTCTTCTTCTTCTTGCCTTTGTGACTTTTTGCACAGAATACGTAAAAATGAAATCAGGATAAATATTTTAGTTTAGTTAATTATCTTATAAAAATTCTATTTATATTGTTATTTTCAACTAATCGAAAATATCACATTGTTTTTATAGATAATTAATATTCAAGATATTGATCTAATATGATAAATCATTATCTTGTTATGTGTTGGTTTCTAACTAGAAATTCAAAAATAAAATGAGTATGTTAACATTATCTGAAAATAAATTTAGTGATGAGTGTGACCAATCATTTTTGATCTTTGATTCATGTTTAGTAATATATTCACACTAGTGAACTGCGGAGTCGCATTTTTTGATCCCGAAACCCGACCCGATTCCTAAACTTTTTTTTCTTCAATTCAGAAATCCGACCCGATTCCGAAAATATTGTTTTTGCGATTCCGATTCCAACTCCGACTACGGTCAGAAATTTTTTCGGACTCCGACTCCGACTCCGAAAAACTCCGAAAATTTTTTGTGACTTAGGAGAGAATTTTTTTCAACTGCTCCCTTCGAATTTCAATGATTTTTTTGTTCGTAGATATTACATTAAGTTCTAGTTAAAGTCCTAAAAAAAGATTTGGGTTCGTGTAACTTTCTTCGAAGGTTATATGTATCTTTATTTTACTTCTACAAAACATAACCTATAACGTTGAAGAGATGGTTTGTCAGACCACCAATTAAGTCATATTTATTTCTATGTATGAAAGATCATATTAAGAAATTTATAAATTCGAAATATCAAATTATTTTGAAATATTTGTAAAAAGTATTAAGAAGCACGATCTTTGCTTTCCTCATGCTTATATCATGTAAATGTAGTAAAAGCTGGTTTACAAATATTAATGGCTATTTCGAGAATATTTTTCTCTAAGACCGTCGCATAAATCCAGAAAAGGTCTTAAAAGGGGCAGAAAAGAATTCTCTATAGAATGTGGTATACTAGTGTTCATAACAATGATTGTTAGTAGTTGATAGCACTTTCACAAGAAAAATGAGTGTATGCTTCGTAATCATTCTTTTGCCTGTTTGTTCGTGACTTAGACGAGTAATGGCATCGCAAAAAACTGAATCAAGTTTCTATAAACCCTTGATACTGCACTTTTAAAAATTCTTTTCTGGATCATTGAGAAGATATTAGATAGAAAAATTTTCAAAATAACAATCGGTGTGTAAAAACAACTTTTTATTGTTTTCATAATCTAATGACAAAGGAAATGAAGGTTGTACTTCTTGGTGTTTTTTCCCAAGTGCTTCGAAATAACTACAAAATAAATATTTTATGAGATCTGAACTAATTGGTGCTCTAGCGAACCATTTCTTGAACAGTATATGTTGTACCTTATCGAAGTAAAAGAAGTATACGTATAGCTTTTGAAGGAAGCGACGAGAATCCATATTTTTTCAGGGTTTTTACCAGGACATTTTGTAACATCTGTAGACGAAAATTCATTGAAATCTGAAGAGTATCTGAAAAGGTTCTCTCGTTCAACAGTAACTTCTAAAAAAATTTCTTTCAATATTAAACAGGTGAACCCACCAGAGACAAGCTCGAAATTCGGAGTTCAGTTGAGTTTTTTTACTCCGACTCCGACTCCGAAATTTTTTTCGTCTTAATTCCGATTCCTACTCCGATTCCGAGAATTTCTGTTTTTTGACTCCGATTCCGACTCCGACTCCGCCGGAGTCGGAGTCGGAATCGGGTTTAGGACTTCGGTGCAGTTCACTAACCCACACCCTTCCAAATCGAGAAAAGTCGAAAAAAAACAATGTTTAATTTTTCGAAAAGCAGCCTAGTTTTCAAGTAAGAGTGGCAGAATTCATGAAAAGTTTTAGAGAAAAAAAATAGATTAAGTACAAAATCATATAATTTTTGAAAAAGCAGACCTTTGGACTAGCATCCTATAGGATTATCTCAATTTTCATGCTTTTTATGAAAAGTCACTATTTCTTTGGCAGTGAAGGTAAGCGAAGAATTAAGGAGTTTGATGTTCCTTTATAAAAGAATGATAATGATTCAAACCGGTACATTTGCCTAATAATTTGTTGGAATGAATTTCAAGATAGATTTAAATTCACGAAAGCATCCAAAAATAGATAAATCAGAATCGAC